CTAAAATGTGTCAGTGAACCACACTTGACAAAATTCCACAGTAAAACACAAATCAAAGTCCCCCACATATAAATGCTAAAATGAATACAGTCCAAAAACAAATCAAATCGTGCTCCAAATAGTCAAAACACATGTAGGTGGTATTTGTGTGGTCGTGGTCACAGGTGCAAATGGCCAAAATGCCCCCTCACCTCCTTACAATGACCCCACAGGGCCAGCTTGCTTTTAGGATCACACCACGATCCTCACAGGTAGTACTCTTCGTGGGTCAATCACCCACTTGTGGTCATCAATGGTGGCACTCACTCCTCTTCTTATAGGCCTCCTCCAGCCACTGGCATCATCAACACTTTTTACCCTCCCACACAGGACCACAGTAATGAAACAAAAAGATCCTCCATAGTGTGATAACATTTTAATGAAGCAAATATATAAAGATATAAAAATGCCCACTCACATGTCTGTAATGAAACGCCATCTTGGTGCACCTTATACCCATGCAGTACACCCATAGTGTGTGGTGTAAAGACGAGTGTTTCATTACAGACATGAGAGTGGGCATCTTTATATTTGCCTTCATTAAAACGTTATCACACTATGGAGGATCTTTTTGTTTCATTACTGTGGTCCTGTGTGTGGAGGGTAAAAAGTGTTGATGATGCCAGTGGCTGGAGGAGACCTTTAAGGAGAGGAGTGAGTGCCACCATTGATGACCACAAGTGGGTGATTGACCCACGAAGAGTACTACCTGTGAGGATCGTGGTGTGATCCTAAAAGCGAGCTGGCCCTGTGGGTTCATTGTAAGGAGGTGAGGGGGCATTTTGGCCATTTGAGGATTTGCACCTGTGACCACGACCACACAAATACCACCTACATGTGTTTTGAATATTTGGAGCACAATTTGATTTGTTTTTGGACTGTATTCATTTTAGCATTTATATGTGGGGGACTTTGATTTGTGTTTTACTGTGGAATTTTGTCAAGTGTGGTTCACTGATCACATTTTAGCAATTTATCCCTGGTTAGGGATGCACACACTATTTTGCACTATTGATCTTTAATTAAGTGATCCCTCAAATGTGGATTGGAGGGGGATCTTAGATTTTTTTCAATTGTTTGATCACGTGTGTGTATATAATTTATTACTGTATCATGTATATATATTGATCTTTTTATGATCCTTACACTGTTTGGAGATAATTAGTTTTATAGCGCTGCACTATTATATATTTGTTTTGGAGTCACATGCACCTTGGGGTTGAGGTATTTAGTGCCAGCAGCTTAGAGATAGGGATTATCCATATAAGCGCAGGAGGACTTCATATTATCATCTGGTAGTTAATTGATTCTTCCTGCTCTCAGGTAACTGGTTGCCTGTACGATGTATGGGAAGACAGCTATCCTAAGAGTCTGCAGGAGCCTGAGATTGCACCCACAATCTGCTGTGGATCTTATGCAGATTTCAGTCCATTTTCCAGTTTGCAGAAATGCTCTACAGTCCATTTAACATGATTTTCTATGGATCTACTTCACATCTGTGCTTTTTGAACCAGTGTGTATTTTTGAGGGTCAGCAACTTTTTTTCCCTCAGCAGATTGCATTTTGCATGTAATAGACTTTAATAGAACTGCATCAAAAACACATGCAAAATGCATGTACATGCGTTTTTGGTGCATTTCCTGCATGACAACAGATATTTCCCCCTAAAAACATTAAACACATTCACAAAAATGCAAATGCACAGAACAAATGCTTTAAAAATGTGTAAAAAATGCAAAGTGTGAACCTAGCCTAAATGCCCTTTTCCTTTTTTTACTTAGCCTTTAAACAAGCCATTAGCAGGCTTCAGACCTTTCTGGAAGCTTGTTGTAAGACCGCTGAAGCTTGTAAGCAGCTGGCTTAAAGTGGCAATCAGCACTCCCATTAGGATCTGTATTCATCATTTACAAACTGGAGTTGAATGGTACTTTATAAGCTTCAACAGAGCTCGCTGAAAGTTCTCAAAATACTTTGTCAAAGCTGGATCCTCACTCTGCTCTTATACAAACTGAACTTCTAATGTAACCAGTTCCTTTTACAATAAATAAAAAGGGACATTTAAACTGGCCGAACTCTGATCTGACAGTTCTGAAAGGACAGGAAATATGTAAAGCACTATATTAGAAAACCTGCTTTGGTCTGTCTTAATGTATGAATTAAAATACTCTGAAGAAGTCACGTGGTTATCGTGAGGCAACGCGTCGGTACGCGTTGACAGGACCTCCGGTGCGCGGTGACGTCATTTCCGGTGCGGGCGCCATATTAGGACACCAGGAACCATGTAGTACACCCATAGTATGGGAAAAAGGCTGGATGTATACTAATATCATGTGAGTGGGCAATTTTATTGTGTACGTTATGCTGATTTGTGTTTGTGCACATAATAGTGGATTTAAGTGGATATTCATTTGGATTGGACATCTATGATTTATCACATATTGTGTGTTTTATGAAGTATTGTACTCTTGCACTTGTGTGTTTATGTATTAGTTGTGTGCTTTTCCCTATCAGGGAATTACTTGTTTCACTTTTTATTTGATCCCCCAGATTGGGGATATATATGTCATTGGGGGGTTCACTTTATAGGCTTGTGAAGTTTCACTTGTTTATGTTATACACGTTATTTATATATTGATTTATTTATATATATATTGATTTATATGCAATAGTATTTATTTAGCGCCACACCATTTACTCATTCATGAATTAAAATCCATTGGCCAGAAGCAACACTAAATTGGGAAAAGTGTTAAAAAAAATCTCTGGGGGGATGACAGAAATGTGACAGCACAGCAGACAAGATTGAGCCTGACTGCTGCCTCCCAACTCTGCCGGAGCTGCTCCAGGGCGATGAGAGAAGAGTGCGGGCTCTGACCTCCCTCCGCTCTCCTCTAAGGCTGTGCCTGGATACCCGTTCTGCTCTTGTTGTCACCTATTGAGAATCTGGGTCAGCGATTGGGGTGGGAGATTGGGGGTGTGTGTGGTTTCGGCCAATCTCGGGGTACCCAGGCTGTGTTGGAGCTGATCTGGTAGGAGGCAGAAGATCAAGGCCAGCCGACTACGATATCCTAGGTGGAGAGGTGAGTGAGTCATAGACATTAAACAAAGTCCATAGTGGGGCCAAAATTTGTGATGGGGGGAAATTTGTGAAGTATGGGGGGGGGGGGATTTGTGAAGAGGTCAGAGCTGTGGTGGGATATTTATGAAAAATTGGTGGGAGAGCAATCGGTATACTAATGATATTCCCCATATAACAGGTTTTTATTGTCATTCTTTCCAACCAGCCTATAACCCCGATGTATTGGCTTTACATTGGGGTTATTGGCTTGCCGCTCTGCTGTAAGTTAGGGTTAGGGGGCACAACTTTCTTGCCTTGCCTCGGCGCTGGCAACCCACGCTATGCAGAAAAAAAATGGCTCCGAACTTTTTTAGTTGGCTCCTAGATTCAAAGCAAATTTGTCAAGCCATGTGTGTATCACTTTCTATCTATCTATCTATCTATCTATCTATCTATCTTTATCTATCTAACTATCTATCTATTATCTATCTATTATCTATCTATCTATCTATCTATCTATCTATCTATCTATCTATCTATCTATCTATCTGTCTGTCTGTCTGTCTGTCTGTCTGTCTGTCTGTCTGTCTGTCTATCTGTCTATCTATCTATCTATCTATCTATCTATCTATCTATCTATCTGTCTATCTATCATCTGTCTATCTATCTATCAATCTGTCTGTCTGTCTATCTGTCTAACTATTATCTATCCATCTGTCCGTCTATCTGTCTATTTGTCTATCTGTCTGTCTGTCTGTCTGTCTGTCCGTCTATCTGTCTGTCTGTCTGTCTGTCTGTCTACCGATCTATCAATCTTGCCATTTTTTTTTTACTACTTTAGATCTGTCACCTTGTCTCTGTACAAATGTCTCCATCACATCCTCATTACAACATTCCTACTTTGCCTTGTTCCCCGGGTGATAATGAGACTGATATATATGTGTAGTTAAGCAGAGAAGAGGTACTAATTGAGGCCCATTTTAATTTTTGCCTTTTATTTTTAAAATCTTTGATTTGGCCGTGCTAATTGCGTATTTCTACACCCATAGAGGAAATGGCAGAATGTCAAGGCTCTTAATTAAAATGTGCACTTACATCATCATTAAGATCTTTAATATTCTATTTTGCTGTGAATGAAAAAGAAGGTGAAATATAGGACAGTATTTTTTTTGTGGCCGGGTGCGGGGAAATGAAGTTATGATGTGATAAGGAGCAGAGGCTGTAAAGTTTCAGCGCCGCAGAGACACTTAGGTCAATAAATGAAATAATGGGACATCTACTCTTTACTGCTCCACAGAAGATAAGTTAGGTTTTTGCCACCGAAACCCGTCTCCACATCGGGAGCTGAGATACTCATACGAAATATTACCCTTTTTTTTAAACAACTGTAGGCAGGGAACGATAAAAGGAATAATTGCTAAGAAAGAGATGACTTTGATCACCTGGCGAGTGTCCAGGTCGAGAACTTTATCATTTAACTAATGGAAGCCGGCTGCAAAGGGCCGATCTGTGAGCTTGTACTTCACGTGCAGAGTTGTAAAGGCAAGATTTGATATTCTAGGACAAAAAGAAAAGGTTTCTCCAAAGTTTTTACAATTTTATTTTATAAAACATGGTAGATAAGAGGTTAGCATGGCTGCCTACCAGAGAAGGGGCCCTAGGTTTTTGACATTCCCAAAACTACATTATAACACAAAGGTAAGTTACGACGTTCCCAGGGGCGGACTGATCATTTAAGCACTCGGCACTGCCCGAGGGCCCGGGGTCAGTAAAGGGCCCCATGAAATGCCCCGACACCTTTTTTATAGGCTTTTTGGGTGCGCTTTGAGAGTGGGCGAGGACACAGGGGCCTCATGATCCCCTAATGCCCGGGGGCCCCATGAGTTGTCAGTCCGCCCTGGACGTGCCTGGTTATTTGCTCCAAAAGGAAATATGCATCAGCTTTGTCCACCACAAATTCTAGCACTTAGTGGACTATGTAAACCTAAGGCTTGCATTGGATCATTGCCGGATTAATATGTTAGCTTGTATCAGAGAGGACAAGGGGGCACTTCTTTATGTCTTGAGATTAAGATAAAAGAATGACAGGGGGGATATGATCACACGTATAATACATAAGGGGGATATGATCTGCTTTGTATAATACATTAAGGGGGGATATATGATCTCCATGTATAATACATTTAGGGGGGGGGGGGGGGGGGAAGGGGGGATATGATCTCCATGTATAATACATAAGGGGGGATATGATACCATGTATAATACATAAGGGGGGGGATATGATCTCCATGTAGTATAATACAAAAGGGGGATATGATCTCCATGTATAATACATAAGGGGGGGATATGATGATCTCCTCATGTATAATACATAAGGGGGGGATATGTTATAATGTTGGGGGGATATGAATGTATGTAATAACATAAGGGGGATATGATTCCATGTATAATACATAAGGGGGGGATATGATCTCCATGTATAATACATAAGGGGATATGGATCTCCATGTATAATACATAAGGGGGGATATGATCTCCATGTATAATACATAAGGGGGGGATATGATCTCCATGTATAATACATAAGGGGGGATATGATCTCCATGTATAATACTTGTAATAATAAGGGGGGATACATCTCCATGTATAATACATAAGGGGGGATATGATCTCCATGTATAATACATAAGGGGGGATTATGATCTCCATGTATAATACATAAGGGGGGATATGATCTCCATGTATAATACATAAGGGGGATATGATCTCCATGTATAATACATAAGGGGGGGATATGATCTCCATGTATAATACATAAGGGGGATATGATCTCCATGTTTAATACAAAAGGGGGGATATGATCTCCATGTATAATACATAACGGGGGGGATATGATCTCCATGTATAATACATAAGGGGGGGGATATGATCTCCATGTATAATATAACATAAGGGGGGATATGATCTCCATGTATAATACATAAGGGGGGATATGATCTCCATGTATAATACATAAGGGGGGATATGATCATCCATGTATATAATACATAAGGGGGGATATGATCTCCATGTATAATACATAAGGGGGGATATGATCTCCATGTATAATACATAGGGGGGGATATGATCTCCATGTATAATACATAAGGGGGATATTATGACCTCCATGTATAATACATAAGGGGGGATATGATCTCCATGTATAATACATAAGGGGGGATATGATCTCCATGTTATAATACATAAGGGGGGATATGATCTTATGTATAATACATAAGGGGGATAATGATCTCCATGTATAATACATAAGGGGGGATATGATCTCCATGTATAATAATAAGGGGGGGATATGATCCCATGTATAATACATAAGGGGGATATGATCTCCATGTATAATACATATAAGGGGGGATATGATCTCCATGTAAATACATAAGGGGGGATATGATCTCCATGTATAATACATAAGGGGGGTTATGATCTCCATGTATAATACATAAGGGGGGGATATGATCTCCATGTATAATACATAAGGGGGGATATGATCTCCATGTATAATACATAAGGGGGATATGATCTCCATGTATAATACATAAGGGGGGATATGATCTCCATGTATAATACATAAGGGGGATATGATCTCCATGTATAATACATTAAGGGGGGATATGATCTCCATGTATAATACATAAAGGGGGATATGATCTCCATGTATAAATACATAAGGGGGGATATGATCTCCATGTTATAATACATAATGGGGGGGGATATGATCTCCATGTATAATACATAAGGGGGGATATGATCTCCATGTATAATACATAAGGGGGGATATGATCTCCATGTATAATACATAAGGGGGGATATGATCTCCATGTATAATACATATAAGGGGGATATGATCTCCATGTATAATACATAAGGGGGATATGATCTCCATGTATAATACATAAGGGGGGGGATATGATCTCCATGTATAATACATAAGGGGGGGGATGATCTCCATGTATAATACATAAGGGGGGATATGATCTCCATTATAATACATAAGGGGGGATATGATCTCCATGTATAATACATAAGGGGGGATATGATCTCCATGTATAATACATAAGGGGGGATATGATCTCCATGTATAATACATAGGGGGGATATGATCTCCATGTATAATACATAAGGGGGGGATATGATCTCCATGTATAATAATACATAAGGGGGGGGATATGATCTCCATGTATAATACATAAGGGGGGATATGATCTCCATGTATAATACATAAGGGGGGATATGATCTCCATGTATAATACATATGGGGGGATATGATCTCCATGTATAATACATAAGGGGGGATATGATCTCCATGTATAATACATAAGGGGGGATATGATCTCCATGTATAATACATAAGGGGGGATATGATCTCCATGTATAATACATAAGGGGGGATATGATCTCCATGTATAATACATAAGGGGGGATATGATCTCCATGTATAATACATAAGGGGGGATATGATCTCCATGTATAATACATAAGGGGGGGATATGATCTCCATGTATAATACATAAGGGGGGATATGATCTCCATGTATAATACATAAGGGGGGATATGATCTCCATGTATAATACATAAGGGGGATATGATCTCCATGTATAATACATAACGGGGGGGGGATATGATCTCCATGTATAATACATAGGGGGGATATGATCTCCATGTATAATACATAAGGGGGGATATGATCTCCATGTATAATACATAAGGGGGGATATGATCTCCATGTATAATACATAAGGGGGGATATGATCTCCATGTATAATACATAAGGGGGGATATGATCTCCATGTATAATACATAAGGGGGGGAAACGATCTCCATGTATAATACATAAGGGGGGATATGATCTCCATGTATAATACATAAGGGGGGATATGATCTCCATGTATAATACATAAGGGGGGGATATGATCTCCATGTATAATATATAAGGGGGGGTATGATCTCCATGTATAATACATCTCCATGTATAATACATAAGGGGGGATATGATCTCCATGTATAATACATAAGGGGGGATATGATCTCCATGTATAATACATGAGGGGGGGATATATAATTAATAACGTATTTTGTCTGGGTGTTTATTTATTATTATTAATATTATTAATAATAATAATAATAATAATAATGTATTTAATTTTTTTAAGGTTAGGGGTTAATTGTTATTTATGTATTTAATATTTATTTATCATAATTTTTTTTATTTATGTGTGTATTTATTTTACATTTATTTTATTCATATATTATTACTATTTTTTTAAAACATTTTGTCATTTGAGCAGAAAAGAGTGTTAAAAACGCACGAAAGTGCGCAAAAACGCGTCAATCGCACATTTCTATTCTTTTCTATGGGAATAATAACGTGTCAAAAACATGCAAATCTGCCCAATTTGAGCTAAAAAAATTAGCTCCAAAACTTTTGTGAGCATCAGCCGTTCTGCTTCAGGTGACTTGGAGTGGAGAGGTGAACCGTCTCCATGGAGTAATATGGATTTTTTTCTCCCTGAGCATTTTGGATCTTTGAGTTTTGCGCTGCAAAAATGGGGCCATAGGGTGTAAGGGAACATTTTTTTGTATAGCCTGGAAAGGGCCGTTAAATCAGAATTCCAATGTTGGATGATCAGAGGGTGAAGAACCCAAACCTCCTGGAGCGCAGTTCATGTTCTGGAGGCGGGGAAAGGAAATGGGGTGAAAGCTCCCAAAAGGGGAACAAAAACCTGGTGAAGGCTTTAACCTCTCCCTAGAACTGCCTTCTCTCTCTCTTTGCAGGTCATAGTCCTCTCCTGTTCTGGAATGCCGAATTACTGTCTATGCTGACCCAGGTCCTCCGCCCCTTCCCTCCCTCATTGCACATAACAGCCCTCACATTCTGTAGTATCACCGAGTTACTCTCTGTGCTGAGCCAGCTCCTCTGTCCCTTCTCTCCCTTATTGCACATCACAGGCCTTGCCCCTTCTGGGATTGTCTAATAACTGTCTGTGCTGACCCAGCTCCCCTGCCCGTTCTCTCCCTTATTGCACATCACAGGCCTTGCCCCTTCTGGGATTGTCTAATAACTGTCTGTGCTGACCCAGCTCCCCTGCCCGTTCTCTCCCTTATTGCACATCACAGGCCTTGCCCCTTCTGGGGTTGTCTAATACCTGTCTGTGCTGACCCAGCTCCTCTGTCCCTTCTCTCCCTTATTGCACATCACAGACCTTGCCCCTTCTGAGATTGTCTAATAACTGTCTGTGCTGACCCAGCTCCTCTACCCCTTCTCTTCCTTATTGCACATCGCAGACCTTGCCCCTTCTGAGATTGTCTAATAACTGTCTGTGCTGACCCAGCTCCTCTGTCCCTTCTCTCCCTTATTGCACATCACAGACCTTGCCCCTTCTGAGATTGTCTAATAACTGTCTGTGCTGACCCAGCTCCTCTGCCCCTTCTCTTGCTTATTGCACATCGCAGACCTTGCCCCTTCTGAGATTGTCTAATAACTGTCTGTGCTGACCCAGCTCCTCTGCCCCTTCTCTTCCTTATTGCACAGCATAGGCCTTGCCCCTTCTGAGAGTGTCTAATAACCGTCTGTGCTGGACCAGCTCCTCTACCCCACCATTCACACCCCCCCCCACATAACTGCCTGTTTACCTGCCATGGGGTAGTGAACGGAATACTATAAAGTGTGACTTGAGTTTCTGTACGAATGATGGGGGGTATAGGAAATGAGGTGAAAGCAGAAAGAAAAAACTTGCCAGAGGATCTAACCTTTCCCTAGAACAGCCCCCTCTCTTCCTGCACATCATAGCCCTTGCCCCTTCTGGGAGTGTCGAATAACTGTCTGTGCAGGCCCAGCTCCCCCACCCCTTCCTTTACCCTCCTTCCTTCATAACTTTCAATTTAACCACCAGGAGAGGAGTGATAGGCAATACTATAAAGTGTCACTTGACTTTCTGTATGA